TTTTTAAGTATCTTCCTCACAATATAAATATGAATCCACAACATTATAACTTGTAAAACAAATACACTGGGTGACGAAACATTTAGGTTGGATGATTGTAGTTTAAAAATGTCTAAAGAAGTACCCTAACTCCCCCCTCAAATTAAAAAAATCCCCCACATAAGGGCCACCTAAAGGGGGAATTTACCCCCCCCATTTTCCAAAACGAAATTCAGGCCCTGCCATAACATAACCACATAACCAACATAAAATTAACCAGACAACAACAGAACACTTACATGATTGAGCCTGAAACCGAGGTTTCTCAGTCTGGATATTTATTCATCTTGCAGACGCTTTTATCCAAAGCGGCTTACAATTGGGGAATACATCAAGCGATTCTTCTTAAAGAGGCAAACAGTCACAGGAAGTGCTCGTAATACCAAGTTTCTAGACATTGTTCAAATAAGTACAAGCTAGAAAGGGAAGGAATAAATGAGACTTTTTTTTATTTTATTTTCCTTTTTTTTTTTTTTTTTAATTTAGGATGAAGCCAGATAGTGATGAAAGTGATGAGTTTTCAGCTGTCGCTTGAAAATTGTCAGGGATTCAGCATTCCGGATAGGGGTGGGAAGATCGTTCCACCAGCCAGGAACGGTGAACGAGAATTATCTGGAAAGTGATTTTGAGCCTCTCTGTGATGGTACCACGAGGCGTCGCTCACTAGCGGATCTCAGACTTCTGAAGGGGATGTAAATTCGTAGTAGTGAGTGGAAGTAGGCGGGTGCTGAGCCTGTGGCTGTTCTATATGCAAGCATCAATGTCTTGAACTTGATTCGGGCCGCAACCGGTAGCCAGTGCAAGGAGATAAAGAGAGGTGTAACATGCCAGCTTTCAACTTCAAACAAAGGGGATCATAAGGGTAAATTCTCATACAGTGAAGCTATATTAACCCAGTGCATTATTGAATATTGAATGAAATGGTCTTGTCTGCAATGCTCTGACATCTAGCACAGTCCCAGCTCAAGGTCTTTATCTCTCCTGTGTCCCTCTCGCTCTTGCTCTACACTCCTAATAAAGGCATACAAGGCAAAAATATTACTTAAAAATAAGCTGTAATAAATGCCCTGTAGTACCAGCTGAAAACAAATGTTTGGAAATTCATTTTTGATATTTTTTAATTTTGTCTCACGCAGAACGAGGTTCATGACCTGCGTCATAACTCTTCAGATGCCACAGCATCCTCATATAGGATGTATCGAGACAACTATGCTGCAGAAGGACTTCAGGAAACGTTTCCTGCAGCGCAGACATTCCACGGTGTTCCTCTCACTGGTCAGTTCAATGGCTTACCCAAATCAGCAGTCTTTGATTGAAATGTGAAATTGTATGTGTATACTAGTGGTTCTCAAAGTGTGCCACCCCCCGTCCACCCCCAACGAGTCTGGTTCACTTTCAACATTTGAATATACACACAATCTCTAGGGGTGTCCCCGACTAAGGATTTTCATAGTCGAATCGGAATTTTTGAATCTTGCCGATATTCGACTGATTGTCGAATCATATGTTTTGGGGGTGGAGCAAAATACATTATCAAGACTCAAGTCAGACATTCGACAGTCATAAATATGTTAACGCATAGGGAAAATGTGTAACAGACGCGTCGCAGATACAAACGGGGTAAATGATTGTTTTGATTAAAAGATAGTTAACATTAAATGTCAGCGAACATTAAATTTATCTCGAATAGAATACGCTTCGTTATTTATACAACATAATGTTAATATTACGATTTATAGGCTATCTGCACAAAATGCCCCAAATGCATGGAACGTGTGTCTCCAGCTCTGAATAAACTCCTTTTGTGGACATGTTCTTCACGCAACAACGTGCAGAAACACGGCAACTAAACTCTAAAAATTCACAGCGTTTTATTATAATAGTGTTCTGGCCTCACTGGGTGGAGGATCAGAAGTCACTGCTGCAGATGTTATGCCAGCAGGTCGAGGCCTTGAAGGTCAGTCCAGACACCAACAGCCTGCAGAAGAATCAATCAGTTTCTTTGCTTTCGCTTTTTCACAGTGTGAATTTACCTTCTGGGCATTATTTTTGTTTTATATATGATTTTATTATGGAAGCTTATTCTTTTTTTATATATAACTTTTGACATTTTAATTGAGTGAGTACATAGAGACAAACCGTTTGAGCAGAGAATTAGGAGAGTGCTGTAGTCTAGTTCAGAGCCAGACTGAAGGACGTTTGTAATCTAATGTTCTCTAATAATCTAATGATATGTATATGACAGTCCCAGTCATAGTTATTAATATTCAGCATTGCTTGTCCGGCTTGCGTTGCACGCTGAAGAGATAATCACCGTAGTACTACAATGAAGCGCTTTACTGCAGTGCAACTCAACCACATGCATCTTATACGAGATAAATAATATATACACGACATATATAAACCGGCTGAAATGTTTTGAAATCACTTGTACCCTACCTGATCGAAAAAATCCAGTCTTTCACTCTGTGTCAGTTTGAGTCTTGTTAAAGTTTTAAATCGCTGCAAGATGCTCCTCTGTCGGTCATGGATCATGGAAAGTGAAACTTAAATCTATAGGGGTGGTTGGATTTATTCACACATTAAAATATTTATTTGAAGCTTCTTTCTTTTCAAATTCTTATTTACAGCATTATTTTAATAGGCTGTATATTAACTTATTGGGAGAAAACCAGTAGTTCTATGTGAAATCAGATATTTGAGCACCCCCAAATGGCATGATCATAACACCCCACGAATATTCGACTGTGAGATTGGTAGTCTAATCGGGCTCCTCCTATCGAAGCATCGAATCTTCGACTATACGGGGTCACCCCTAACAATCTCACAAAAGTAGATGTGAGAAACAATGAGGCTTGTGCAGGTTTTTCTTCTATGTATGTGCTTTGTTTATGCAAACAAACTAAAGAACCACTTGTGTGTACAGTAGTTGAGACATGCCTAAACCATTCCTTTTATTTGTCTCAGTTGCTACTACAGGTCCCTCTGTGTACTACAACCAGTCTCCAGCATATAATTCACAGTATCTTCTGCGCACCGCTGCAAATGTCACACCAACAAAGGTACTGGAGGGATTTTCATGTAAACACAAAATATTCTACCCTACAGTAATGAAGCCGAGAATCTATATCAAAGTATTGTTTGTTTGCCTCTGCAGGGCCCAGTATATGGGATGAATCGTCTTCCTCCTCAGCAACATATGTATGCCTACCAGCAATCAACACACACCCCACCTCTCCAGTCAACACCCGCATGCATGTATCCTCAAGAGCAAGTCTTCGGTCCTCCCATCCGGTTTGAGTCACCAGCTACATCCTTACTCTCCCCATACAGTGAGGAGTATTACGGTCACAATGTCCCTCAGCCCACAGTCAATCCAACATTGCCAGAGCCTGGATATTTCACTAAGCCATGTGCTGTTACATCCACACAGCCATCCAGGAGCACTGAAAGCAAGGCTATCGACCCCAAGATGAGTTTTGGGCCACAGTTCACAGGTGAACCTGCTAAGGTTCCCAATTTTGGAGGAGTAGCTGCTGTGCCAACAACAACAGCATCAACTGCATTCAAGTTCAAATCCAATTTCAAATCCAATGATGGCGATTTCACCTTCTCCTCTGCTCAGGGGAAAAATAGTGAAAGCCTCTTGGGACTTCTGACATCAGATATTCCTCCCAAAGCAGAGGTGCCGTCAGAAACAAAACATCAGACCCAAGACCAGCTGCCTAGCCAGAGCGGAGTCTTTACCTTTGGAAGTAAAAGTGCAGCAGGATTTTCATTCACTGATGGTGCTCAGAACAAGATGAGTATTTTTGGCAACACCGACCAAAGATATAGCTTTACAAGTGGAACCAAGCCAACATTAGGGAATTCAGAGCCTCGGGAAGAGAAAAGTGGGGCAAGTGACAATGATAGCACCCATGTAGAAGAAGATGAGGATGGGCCTCATTTTGAGCCCATTGTGCCTCTACCTGATAAGGTCGACGTGAAAACTGGTGAGGAGGAGGAAGAGGAGATGTTCTGCAAGAGAGCAAAACTCTTCCGATTTGATTCGGAGTCTAAAGAATGGAAAGAGAGGGGCATTGGCAGTATCAAAATCCTGAAGCACAAAACTTCCGGGAAGGTTCGTCTGTTGATGAGGAGGGAGCAGGTTCTGAAAATCTGCGCCAATCACTATATCACTGCCGACATGGCCCTCAAACCAAATGCTGGATCTGACAAATCCTGGGTGTGGTACGCTATGGACTATGCAGATGAAATGCCGAGGACTGAGCAGTTGGCCATTCGTTTTAAAACAGCAGACGAGGCGGCACTGTTTAAAGTTAAATTTGAGGAGGCTCAAAAATTCCTTTCTGAATCCCCACAAAGCCAACAGGCTGAAAAGGAAAGCGAAATTCCACAGCCTCAGGTTTCATCCAAAGAAGTGGATCTCAAAACCCGGTTTTCCAAGAAGGCGGGTGAATGGGACTGTGACATGTGCTGTGTAAGAAACGCTCCCACGTCTGCAGTATGCGTGGCCTGCAGCAGTGCAGCTCCTTCTACAGCACAGGTCAAACCTGTAGAGGAACCCAAAGCCTCTGGCCCTGCGGATCCTCCTGCCAAATTGTTTTCTTTTGGACTTTCTGGAGATTCTGCTAAGAACAACGCCAGCACTGATATCAGCTCGAAGGGCTTCATTTTTGGATCTCAAATACCAGTTTCTTTTAAGTTTGGATCGAAGGATGCTGCCGCCACATCTGCTGACTTTGGAGCTCAGGCTGAGAAGAAAACAATTCAGTCTGATGCACCACAACAAGAGAAAGTGTCAGCAGGTCCAGCAGTCCCATTTGGCACTGGATTTGGTGCTCAGTTTGCCAATGGATCGAAGGATGCTGCCGTCACATCTGCTGACTTTGTAGCTCAGGCTGAGAAAAAAACAATTCAGTCTGATGCACCACCACAAGAGAAAGTGTCAGCAGCTCCAGCAGTCCCATTTGGCACTGGATTTGGTGCTCAGTTTGCCAAAGGATCGAAGGATGCTGCCGTCACATCTGCTGACTTTGTAGCTCAGGCTGAGAAAAAAACAATTCAGTCTGATGCACCACAACAAGAGAAAGTGTCAGCAGCTCCAGCAGTCCCATTTGGCACTGGATTTGGTGCTCAGTTTGCCAAGAAAGAGGGTCAGTGGGACTGTGACTCCTGCCTAGTGAGGAATGATGCCTCAGCAACTGAATGCGTTTCTTGCCAAGCCCCCTGCAGCACTGAAAAAAGTAAAGCAACATCACATGGTGGGCTAGCTGCCATGTTTGGTAAAAAAGATGGACAGTGGGACTGTGACACTTGCCTGGTAAGAAATGAAGGTTCGTCCAGCCATTGTGTTTCATGTCAGACAGCAAACCCAAATATGAAAAACACGACCTCTGCTGCACCGTCAAGTTCCTCTTTTTCCTTCAGTTTTGGTAGTTCTAGCAGCCAACCTGCTGCGACAGGATTTAAAGCCAATTTCAATCCAGGCCCTGCTTTTCAATTCGGCACAAGTCAAGATAAAGCCTCCTCAGAAGGCTTCAAGTTTGAGTCCTCCACAACTGAGGCTGAAAAGTCATCAGGCAGTTCCAGTTTTTCGTTCTCCATGTTGGCGCCTGTTGGCGGATTTAAGTTTGGCATTGCAGAATCTGAGGCAAAACCATCAGATGAACAGTCCCAAAATGGATCTGCATCTGACCTCCTCAAAAATATTGCTGAGCTTCATAAAGAGAAAGAGAAAGAAAAAGAGGCAGCCCCAAGTACCCCAGAACAGTCTGTAGACGCTGATAGTCATGATAATAATCCCCTCTTTACTGGAAAGCCTAACACCTTTAGTTTCGCTGACTTGGCAAAGTCACAAGGCAGTTTTCAGTTTGGCCAGAATGATCCCGCTTTCAAAGGCTTTGCAGGGGCTGGCGAGCAGCTCTTTACAGGAGTTAATTCCAGCTCCAAGGCCGACACCTCTGTCGATCAAGATGATGAAATGTACAAAACCGATGAGAATGACGATATTCAGTTTGAGCCCGTTGTTCAGATGCCGGAGAAGGTCGACCTTGTTACAGGCGAAGAAGATGAGAAAGTCTTGTATTCACAGCGTGTCAAACTCTTCAGATTTGATACGGAAACAAACCAATGGAAAGAAAGAGGAGTCGGCAACCTTAAACTGCTCAAGAATAGCCAGAACGGGAGACTTCGAGTTCTTATGAGGAGAGAGCAGGTGTTTAAAGTGTGTGCTAATCATTGGATCACAACCACAATGAACTTAAAGCCTCTCTCTGGCTCGGATCGAGCCTGGATGTGGATGGCCAGTGACTTCTCAGATGGAGATGCCAAATTAGAACAACTTGCGGCAAAATTTAAAACACCTGAGCTTGCAGAAGAGTTCAAGCTTAAATTCGAGGAGTGTCAGCGACTGCTTTTGGATATTCCTTTGCAGACGCCTCACAAGCTCGTGAACATTGGCAGAACGGCCCAGCTTATAAAGCAAGCTGAAGAAATGAAATCTGGGCTTAAGGACCTCAAATCATTCTTGACTTGCCAAAACAAGGATGACAAAAGTTGCGATACAAGTCATAGTACCTCTGCAGTTGTAGGTAAGCTCGACTCTGAGAGCACCGCACCCACTTTAGAATGGGATAATTACGATTTTCGTGAGGAAGTGCACGAGGACTATGCCAGCTCCTCTGTGTGCAATACTCCTTTGCAGCCTGATCCAGTAGCTAAAAATTTATTCCGCTTTGGCGAATCGTCCACAGGCTTCAGTTTCAGTTTTCAGCCTATTCTCAGTCCCTCTAAGTCTCCATCTAAGCTAAACCAGAGCCAGGCTTCTGTTGGCACAGACGATGAGCAAGAAGCGTCGCATGAGGAAGAGCGAGATGGTCAGTACTTTGAGCCTGTTGTGCCATTGCCTGATCTTGTTGAAGTCTCAACAGGAGAGGAGAACGAGCAAGTCCTTTTCAGTCACCGGGCCAAATTATACCGCTATGATAAAGATCTCAGTCAGTGGAATGTCTCACACGGCTCCGGGGGGTGAGCAAAGGCTCCAGAAGGATGGCGTATGAGGTCAGTGCTGCGCATGCGCCAGTGAGTCTCGTGAAAACCAACGTTTGTTAACTGGAGCAAAAGAAGCAAAGTTTCCTTACTTTAGCAAAGGAAAACCAGTCTCCTCTTGGCTTATATCGAAATCCTTCA